CATCGGTTCTGAAACACATCGATTTTCTTAGCATCACCTTCGTTCGTTTTCCATGTTTCGCAACCATACATGAGAACTGATTTGACCAATGTTTTGTATAGCTTGATCTTTGTCTTCCTCGACACACTGCTGGAATTCCATACTCGATTCAGCTTCACAAACGCTCCCCTCGCTTTCCCTAGCCTAGCGTTGATGTCTTCTTCTCCGCCCCTTTGTTTACATACTGTGGCTCCTAGATAGAAAAACTTCTCTACATCTTCCAACGCCAGACCATTCACTGTGATGGCTTCATTATTCGTTGCATTGACTCTCATGACTTTACACTTCCCGACATTTACCCGAAGGCCTGTCCTTTCTGCATTTTCTACCAGCCTGTTTGTTTTCAACTGCACGTATCTTTGTGTTGACGAAATTAAAGCTACATCATCAGCGAAGTCGAGGTCCTCAAGTTTTGATGTAAATTTCCACCTCAGCCCGGTTCCCTCCTCTTTCACAGTATGCCTCATTAACGGACAATGAACACTAAATCTCGGTCCTAAGGAGCAAATTCTCTTCATTACGGACACTCCATGGACCAGGGCTCGATAGTTTGGGGTACGTACCATTTCCTGTCCGCAGTTACACAAACATTAACACTTTATCATTTAGATTCAAAAATTCCCAAGACACTCACTTTTAGGCCTGATTTTAGTTACTTAACACTTTAAACTGTCAGTGAAGACTTAAAAGTGACTCGTCATAGTGACCTCTCCCAGACGGACACCTCTCTAATATGGACACTTCGCTCTGTCCCTTCGGTGTCCGTATTAGAGAGGGTCGACTGTACACATGAGAAAAGGCGCGCAATAACATCACCTTTATTTTGTTTTATTCCTTTACAACAACAGTACAGTAACACTTAGAGTAATTACAATAGTAACAATGTTTACATTACTTACAAAGCAACCCCTAATTCTAATTAACAATTAGACCCGTAGCCCTTGCGGGCTACGGGTCTAAACGAAAGAACGGTCACGCTCGATTGGGCCAATTTCGCTACTCGAGGACTATTACTAATAGTCCTATAGCAGCGTAGCCAATTAAAATGCAGGATTTGCATTAGTCCACTAGTTGGGTGATACTATTTATAATGAATACCTAGCGATACTCACGTTAAACATTACTTAAATTAGCTTACTCTACCTACAGTATTATTTTTTAGTTAGCTATCTTTACATACTGTATAATGTTCACGCTACTTACTTTTTAATTAGTTTACTCTAAACACTATACCGAATACTTACACTACTTACACTAACTAAAGCTGGTAAAATTTGAGAGAGGTAGAACATCACCTCAGTTTATTACCTGAGGGACAACAAAAGAAGTTAACAAAGCCGTTTAACTCGAAGTCCTATTTCTGTGCAAAATACGCTGTGTTACGTATTGATACCAAGTATCATGTTAAAGGCTTTCTTAATATCATGCCAGGTAATCCGTTGTTTTGAATTTTTCAGCGTTTACTATTCCTCCAAATCCTAAGTGCTTTAGTAAGCCGATCATCAGGGAGTGGCTCTGAATAATTTAATCTCTTTGCAGGTGTGTTATGCCAAATCTGGTAAGATGTCTATAATATAGAAAGTTAACATGAAAAGAATAACAAAAGCATACAACGGTGCAATGAATTTACATCAAAATGAAAAGGGTACCGCGTTTTTTTTTGTTTTTTTTTGACAAGTTTTGAAAGTTCTTCTGTTAGAGATTGGAACTAGTCCAATTTAGTACCTCTCTCTGTCACGCAACGCTACGTGACCATCTCCCCCTAGCGTTGCGTGACAAGCTGGACTAGGTTAGAATTCAAAGACTTCTTTATGAAAATCAAATGTGACTCCTCCAGATGAACACTTAGTACACAGTTCCTCGACGCTGTCAACCAATGAGGTTGGTCCACAGGTTAATACCGCTACCCGTTTCTCTCCCTCTTCACCCGCGTAGTCTTTCATCTTAGAGAACAAATTTGGAAGCTCAGGACGGCCAAATTTTAGGTCTGGCTGCACTTCTGGAAGGATGTTAGCCACTTCGAACTTGGACGAATCTCTTTCTCTAGTGAGATGGAAGTAATTTTCCATCACCTCCTTTGACTCACCTCTCGCCACAAGGTCTGGAGTGAACGACAGTGGAAGCCGGTGATCCGAAGATTGCTGGAAGTATTCCTTGTCGTAATCAAGCACTGCTGTCACCATGAAGAGGTCACGGACGGACCAGATGAACATCACTTTGCGGATGTCCCTCCCTCGTCTGCGCTGATGCAGCACGTCGTTGCAGATAGACTGCATAGGGGTGATCCCGATGCCGCCACTGACAAACATGAAGAGCTTGTAGCGGTCGCCGTCGACGTCCAGGCACGGAGCTCCGTATGGCCCGTCGAGATAGACATCGATCGGTTTTGTCTCCTCCACGTAGTCGTACAACCGTTCGGTCCAGTCTCCGAGTACGCGGATATGCAGTGAGACCACGTTCTCGTGGGGGGAGGAGGACAGGCTGAATGGATGCCATTCAAACAGGGATACACCTGGTACACATATGAAACAGTACTGACCCGATTTGTAGTTGAAATCTTCCTTGAGGAACGTCAGGCGAACGACATTTGAGGGAAGTCTGACGGCCAAGATACTTCGTTGCTTTCTATTGTTGATAAGTACGATTAACGCACGGACCAGTATGTCGAACACCCACAGGACAACCCCGAATACAATCGCACCGGCACCGTGAGCAATGGCGGCGCCGATGACAAGTAGGAACAGTACCCAATGGAAACGATAGAAAGCTTCGAAGACCTTCCGGCGAATAAACCTCAGGGCCGTCAGGCAGAGACCAGCCATAGAACCAACGAGTAGGAGTCCGGAGACATCCCATCTCTGAGACACATAGCCATGCCAAGCACCGACGAGGACGCTGACATAAGCGCAAAGTTTATGCCAGAATAACGCTCGCTCAAATGGCATACCGGTGAACAGCACCCATAGCGAGTTTCTACAAGCAAAAGCGAATGAGAGGGCCGGTGCGATAGTTGCAATACCCCCAGTTCCTTCTCCGCCTTCGTCGTCATTCAATCCGATCACTCCCAATGCTGCAGCTAGTCCCCCAATGAGCAATACAAACACAAGCAGCTCTCCAAGAACGATTCCAAATAGAAGGCGAGTGTGGAAAATACTAAGTATCTTCCAGCGACAGTGGTAGTAACGTGGCCATGGAAACAATCGATTGAGTACGGGCGACTCGTACTTCGAATCTTCGTAAGGTTTCCATCGCTCAGAGCCTTGATGCTCGAAGTGTTCCACGTTAAGTGGGTCTACAACCGCCGCTTGTCGCCCATCTGTTTGTTCCACTCGCCGAGGCTGCTCGATGGAAACTTGGTAGGACTGGTGCATGTTTTTCAAAAGCAGCTAAATGTAAAAGCGCTTGTTCGATGTGCAAGTAGATAAAGTTGTATTTGCCAACAAACAGTTACATGTAAGGCGTGGAACGCAACGGCCAATCGAAAGAGCTGTAATTTAAAGCGTGTTTTCCAACACACTACAGCAGACACACTTTTCGCAGATGAGTAAATAACAGAAAAAATCTTTGAGTCCTTGTTTCAACCTCGCAGCCAAGCGAATAAATGTTTCGCAAAACAGTATACGAAAATGTGCTTATGTCATCGGCTAGCTCAAACTGCACTGCTGGAAAATGAGAAATAGCGATCGATTCAAAGGCAAGAATGCAATGCCAACCAAGCCAAAAGACTCGTGTATTGATACTGATCCGAAGCAGAAAGGTTTTAGCATAAATATAAGCTCGATAAGAGTAGTAAAAGAGTTTGACAGAGAAAAAAAGCACTAATTTGCATATTATATATTCTGGTTTGATTGATCTCCAGCAATGTAAAACAGGTTCTAGGTAAACATTTCTATTTTTAAAATGGTTTAAGTGTCAGTTATGTTTTACTCTATCTTGGAATTTTTTTTTCAGCAGTTTTCATGTAAAAGTCCTAGTCATAGCTCTCAAAATTATTTTACCTCCACCTGTATTGTCACTATTGTCTATCTATCCGCAAGTCGCATATAAGATTTCTTTAAGTTTTATTTCAATAAATGGTAGTAATGCCAAATGGCTATTTGATCTTGCAGTTCCGCTTGCTATAAACCAGACCAATGAAATTTGAAGTAATTTTTATTACTTACAATTTTAATTCATCTGTTTATCTTGTCAATTGTCTTCATTGCTTAGCGGTATAACAAGTGAAGCACTTATAATTCAGACCCCCTTCAGGACCGAGGAGATTAAGCGAAAGACCTGGCACTAGTTCTAGAGTTGTTAACTGAGATCCCAGATCAAGCTTCAAGTGAGAATTAAATACGGGTTTGGCCGTGTGAATCTAGCTGCGAAATATCTAACGATTGCTTTTAAAGTACAAGGAAAAACTCAGGCTCAGGTTCAGTAACTCCACACTGCGCAGGATAAATTTGAAAACGCAACAATTACCGGTCATTCTGGATTTGTGTTTGAGGAAAACTCGAGCTGGGAAATTACACGACTATCGTGATGTCATCGTTTTCGAAAAGCTCCGTTTTCAAAATGTTTTCTTTCCACGCTAAAACGTAAAGCCGGCGTTTTCAAATTCCTCCGGTTTGAAGAGCGTTTTCGAAAAGCTCCGTTTTCGTGACGGATTAGTGTGGACGGTAGGCCTAACCGTAAAAATATAGCTGCGTTTTTAAATTCCTTCGGCTTAGTGTGGACGGAGCCTCGGTATACTCGAAGGTTGTCTTCGGTTTGAAAATTCCGATTTTCTTACGAAGTGAACCACTCGAACTTTTTCAACCAGACGTAATTGACGTGGTCCTGCATCTTTTTCAGCTTTGAGTTCGACGAGCGATAGGTATAAACTTAGAAAAGATTAGGGCTTAAAATTTACAGAGATCTTAATATCCCCCCACAATTGACCTGATTATGCTAAGATTCCGCTCTGCTTATTTAAAAGAGCGGTGTCTTAATTTCTGGATTTTCGCCACGTGTGAATTAGCTGACTTGTTAGACATTAAGCTCCCGGGGTGAGAGGGGTACTCCCTTCTATGGCCTGCATCGGTATGAGCGGCCCCGAAGGGTATAGCTTTTTTGCCAAATAGGGTACGGTTTTTGCACTCCAGTCTTGAAATGGGTCTTAAATAGGGTAGAGAAAATCGCAGATTTTAGTCTTAAATAGGGTAAGGGTTTTGGGAAGCGGGCCGCACACCCCCTCTCAATTTTTCGGCAGTATCCCCGGAGTTAAGCTTCGCACACCGAAGCAAAAGTAAAATTGCGATCTCTTCTCAGTTTTGCAACTTTGCGCATAGCAATTTCAAAGAGTGTTCACTTCTGCAACATTGCAAATATCGGTCATTTGCAATATCTTGGTTATCCGATTTTTAACAATGACACTATATATACGTGTGTTCTTTCGACCGGTTGTTCTCTGAAAGCAAAAAACTAAACAGCTGTTGTTTATTCCAATCTTGGCTGCTTGATCCTCCTTCAAAACTTTTGGCTTTAGTTACGTATTTGTAAAACATAAAAACTTGACTGTATCAGCAACCTGTTGAGCAAAATGTTAACGTTAACCGTTGTGTGCAACCGCGTGAAACATTAAGAGTGCAGCCGCGTTATACGTGTAGCCCCGTCGACTGACACTGTTGTATAGTTGTTCTGTAAGCGAACTAAGGCCTTTGCGCCAGTTAACGTGAAATCAAGAAGGTGGGAAACAACAAATGACAGACTTATTGGCAATGTTGCAGCGTTTGTCTGGGCTTTAAGCCGAGGAGTGCGACACAAGCTCGTTGATAGCTCGCAATTATAGTCACTCGGCTCGCGTTGTGCGAACTAGTCAGCCTATTCACAAAGCTTAAGAAAAAAAGGAAACGTCTGTGGACAAACTACTGGCGGAACACTAGCTTGAAATGCGTAGCCTGCGAACAGGCTCCCGGTGAGCCCGAACGAAGCGAAGGAGCCTGTAGACATTCTACTGATACCGCTGTTCTGTGATACCAGCTCCTGGTATCATGATATGATTGGTTAAATCGCTGATTGTTGACATCTTTGAGATGAATATTTGACAGATCTTTGTAAAATTATACGACTCCAACGGTTCGTTACAATAGCGCATTTGCCGTTCTCTTTTAAGGTTCGGTCTCTCGACCTCTCGTTATTTCACAAGTGATTCTGAAGGGTACTTTATGCTCTGTTACGAGGAGGAATTTTAAGTAGAAGCTAGTGGGGTGGAGCCGTTTGCCGGTGCTATAGCAATTTTTTTAGAGGTCAAAGGCATGGTTTCCTGACTTTCCGTTGTTATCTGCTTGTCGCTTCGCAGAGTTTGACACCTCTATCATGTGTTTATAATTTCTTTAGGCTCATTTCAGTACCGCAAAATATGTTTTAAGCACTCTAAGTATCGGCTCTGGGGGGACAAAGTGTTTAAAATATTCCGTGAACATGTTGCTTACTTGTACTCTGTATTATGACGCCGGCTATTTGATTAGCTCGATTAGAACTGTTTGCAAGTACCGATCGAAAATGTAGCTTCTTGACAGGTTTGTTTACCTCGTGGACTGATTTGTTACAGGCTTATCACCAAGGGCGGATAGGCAGATCAAAAACAAAGTCTACAGGCTCCCCTGTCCCAGCCCCGATCGCTTTGCTCTCCGAATTCTTCTGTTTCGCGCTCGCCGGAATTTTTTTTCCGTCCTCGCCGGGAGCCTGTTCGCAGGCTAGAAATAAGACATGCGTGAACGGCTCAGCTACTTCGTGGAAGAAAGGGAAGATTGAAAGCATATCAACACTTCTAATACGAACGCTTTTTCCTTTTTTGTTAATTTGTGAGAATATTGCACAACTTTGATAAATCCCAAGCTTTTTACGAACCATTTGTTTCTGTTGTATTTATGTGTCGATGGATCAAATTCCTTTGAAGTTTTTCAAACGTTTTTAATTGAGGCTTATAGGCAAGGCTTCATAACATTGTTGTTATGTGGTAAGTTAAAAAAATTCTGGTCCCATGTAAATCTTCCTGATTTTCTACCAGACTTGTTTACTCGCAACGCTAGCTCCAGGTTTTAAATAATCTATTATTGTACCGGCACTGATAGTAGCTATTCATTTAACCGCGTGGCTTGCATTAAAAAAAAAAAAAATTAATCACACTTATCTCGAATCTCTTATAGTTGCACTCAAATAACGAGATTAAACCTGACCGAACCTCCCCTAGCGAACAATGAAAACTCCAAATTAAAACAGCTCATACTAAAAGTTGCTTTTTCTTTGACACACAAAAGAATTCTAGATTGATTCCCAACTGAAAGAACACAGATGAAACTTAAATTAAAATTAGAATCTTTTCTACTTCAAACTGATTTGTACCGCAACGCTTTTATTTAAAACCTATTGTTTGAAATAAATGCTCAAGGCAACGAAAGTTTTGTGGCTCGATCCAACGTTGTCAATACGATAAATAAATTGTATATACGTCTTTCATCAGTGTTTCGTCGCCATCGAATCACGAAATTGTGTCCAGCCGGATTGAAAGACAGAGAAGCCAATATTGTTAATAGCCTGATTGAAAAATAACTTAAAAAACGCGCAGCCTTTTTTTACTGCTAAAACATATAGCGACAAAAATAAGTTGTAAGTAATTCTTTAATCTAAAAAATTAATATGAAAATCAAGTACAGTTCTTTAATTAATTCCTTTTTTCCAGTATGTCTACAAAATTACGATAAATTCAAATAAAGAAAAGGAAAATGAGTAGAAAATGTCAACAATGAAAACTACAATTATAAAATCTTTTCACTTTTTAATGAGAAATGATTTTACCTCTGGAAAGGAAAAGAAAAGGAAAACAAATCGTTGAGTTTTCAGGGGCACCCAACGGATCGTTTCGTTAAATTATCTGTTCGGAAGGCCTTTAATCCCCTCTGATTTTCTTGAGAGAATTGGCACCTCGAACTTTCGTGATATGAGAAATTTAATGTCTGTTGTTTNAAATTAACCTACAGAGCTTTAAAAGTACTCCAGATAGCCTAAAACAGCGTCTAACAGCATTCGAGAGAAAACGGTCGTTGGGTGCCCCTGAGTTTTCAACCGACTTGTAAGCCAATCAATAGATTGCGGGATATATTATCACTATGGCAACGAAACATTAAACATTTTGCAGCAATGAAAAGTGGGCAGCAACTTTAAGAAGCTTCACTTTGTATTATCATCAAGAAAGTTACAACGCCAATTTGTTGCTCAAACTTATGACATTGGTGAACAATTTTTAGGAAGGTGTGTTTTACTACAAATGAACAGTTTTAAACCATTACCAAGGAAATCAACAACCGTGGTAAGACATTTTCGTTTAATTTTTCAGAGCCTGAATATTTCATTTTTTTTTTTTTTGACAACTGTTCGAGAAGGACTTAAGGAGAACAAGATCAGTTTAGCACCCTTCTTCTTATATATTTGTTTTTATTACATAAAAAAATCGACACCTTACTGACCGAAAAGTGCCGAAATCAAACCACTGTAGCAAGCGAAACTACATTTAAAAAAAAAATGCAAGGGTAAATTGGCGTACTATGCAATGAAGAAGATAACTGATAACATTTGACGCGGCCACAATAATCAGGGCTAATGCCAAAATACCTCTAACTTTGTAATGCTTAACTACTATTATCTGAATAGTTTTGGATAGTTTAATTACTGATATTATCTTATAACTAGAGAAAAAGATTGCTTTGGAGTTTAGCACTTCCTTGCATTAATTAGTTTACCTAGTATGAACTTTTTCGAGGGCGCGAAAGGGCTATACACTTCTTTGATAGAAAAGAAACGGTTTAAGCGTATTTTGCAAAAGCGAGGCAAACATTATAAATTATTCGTTGTAACAAAAGGTGCTTTTCTTTCAACCGTGCTTTTTTACGAGCCAAAATCGTGGCTTTTAAAAAAGAACGCCTTTTAGTTTCTTTTTTTTTTTTTAGCAAACGTCACCCTTAAGTATCATACGATACCTTCGTTAACTTTGAATATTTTTTTAGTTCTTTTTTTGTCCTGCGCAATAAAAGTGATTCTGAGTTTGCCAAAAACATAGTGTCAATTTTTCATTTTATTGGAAGCTCCTTTTTTTTTTGTTGATATCTGTCGAGGTGTAATTTAGTAATTCGTTACGCTGGCGGTCTATAAACAAAAGTTTTTATTTCGCATGAAGTTCTTATTTTAGCTCAAATCGATGACAAAGCAAAGCGACCCTCCTTTGCGCAAATTGCTCGCAGCACGCTTCGATTAGATTTGTAACTCATGGGTTGCATAAAGGGGGCGGGCTATTTAACCAACTGCGTACGTATTGGCAACATGGAACGATTTTAATCTAAAGTCACTCAACAGGGTAAACAGAGTGTAGATAATGTTGCGTGGGATTTTTCTTAATGGCTTAAAATGTAAACAGAGCTTGCGTGAACACATACAAATCCCTTCTGGAGCATTTGTCGCCGGTAATAGCTTTGATGCGTAGATTATTCGTAGAGCACAAACAACTTTAAAAGCCTAACTTGGACAGAGTTCTTTCTAAATGTGATTTGTAGTGAAAGTTACTGTACGGTGAAAGCTTTATTATAAAGCGACACAGTATTCGGTAGCCCTATAGACTATAATTTAACGATCAGTTGTCCAGTTCTCGAAAATTGCACCAAACAATTGCTGTAAACTTTGCCTTTATTTGACAGTTACCTCTGAGAATATTATATTTCATTGTTTAGGACTTAAAATAATAAAACGTGTATTTGAGAAAATGGAAAACGCTTAAACAAGCTGACTACAAATTGATTTCACCGAAAATCCCCGTCAAAGTTCTTTGGCCGCCATGAACTTTACAGTGAACTGAATGTACCGTTTTTAGGCGAATCTATTGCAAGCGATTACCAACTTATTTCCTAATGGTGGCCGTTTCGTGATAAACTTTTGATTTCCATTAGTTTCATCGATATCGATTGATATTTTCACATTTCTCTCGGCGAATGTCTGAATTTACTCATCAAACCAAGTTGTGACAGGAGCCATGAAAAAATATCTGGACCGCATTGATTACTTAAAGATGTTTTAAATCTTCCTATTTCTTCTCTTGCAGTTCCTAAACTAAGTGCCAACAATGGGAAACAATTTGCAGGTTAATACAACCTTTACCGCCAAAAATTACTCCAATGCGACAAACCGCACCATTGGGTATACCACAACGCAGCCTATCCCGCTGTTCCGACCCCCCCAGGATGTTGAAGACATCTGGGATCAGTTAAGAGCTCTGGCCTGTGTTTGTTCACTGACATTTGCCATCAATCTCTTTATGGTAATCTTCACTTCTGTCAAACTCAAGGCTGTTCCGTATATGTTCATTCAGAATTTCATGGTAATCGACATAGTCAGCGCCATGGTGACGGCTGGGCCTTGGGCAACGGGTGTCTGGCTTGACTTTTACGGCCTGTCGGTTCTCACATTCCTATGCCGTATTCAAGGATTCTTCCACAACACCCTGGCCACTGTGTTCTTGGGAACAGTCACTGCCATCGCCGCCAGCCGGTACCTGTACGTGGAGTCACCTCTTGCCTACACCATGTTCTTCGTTAACAAGCCTGTTGTCCGCCTGTTGCTGTTCACCATCTGGTTCGGTGCAGGCTTCCTAGCCTCTCCACCCTTGAACCCGGGCACGTGGGGTGCTTATAATAAGCTCGAAGGCACGTGCTGGATGTCTTGGGAGGCAGGAAACCTTGGTGCTGTGACCTACTCTGCCTTCCACACCATCATCACGCTTGGCCCCGCTGTCATCTTCACCGCACTTGCGATCGTCTTCATCGTGCTCAAGAAGAAAAACTCCATCCATCCCGCCCCACCCGCGCCCTCCATGCAGCTGAACAACAACCAACCGGGGCTCCCACCTCCGACGCCGACCATGACGGGGTCCACCAGAGGAGGGACGCACTTCCTCAACTTGGAGGTACTGTACATCTCCTGCGCATTGCTCCTGCTGTACCTGGTCACGTGGACCGCCATGACAGTAGTGGAGTCCCTCATCATTGTGGACTGGCGCACCGTGGACTACAAAGTCGTCATCGTCCTCACATTCCTGTACCAGTCACGTGGCCTGATCCATCCCTTCCTCTACCTTCTTCTGAGCGCCGAGATGAGAAATGCGTTTGTGAAGTGTACAGGTAAGGGGCAGGCTGGAATTACGCTGTCCACCGATGCCGGCGCTCTGTCCCAGTCCATCGCCGACATTCAAGCCCACAGACAGTGATTGTAATATTGCAAGTGTAAGAAGCCTTAGAGAGGAATGGTCCCCAGAGATAATTATAAGACTAACTAGCTAAGTTGTTTCTGGTTTGCGCTTGGTTTAGAAATTATTAATCTGATGAAGGAATTGCACAGTATATTAAAGGAAACACCACTCTAGTGAAAAGTAAGTCCCCTGATATAAAATAGAAGGCCCCCAGGGGAAATTAGCAATTCCGAGCCCCTGTAGCTAAGTGATACACCCCTTTTATTTTAGCAAGGCACTGTCATATCATAGAAAGATTTCACACTGTCGGGCATTTCATAATTCATATTTGCAATAATACGACCCCAAATGCCATGTATTGTTCCGTAAAGTTGTTCACAATGTATAAACAAGGGTTACAGTGGAACCCCACCTTACGGTCACCTCATTATTACGGCCACTTCTTTTTGTCTCGGCGAAACGCCCATACATTTTCCTATAAGAAAACACCGTTTATGCGGCCACCCTGTTAATACGGCCAACGACAACATTCTGAAATCCCAACCTGTATAACCATTATAATTTTATGCCGTTTATACGGCCACTTAAATCAGTTATGTTCATATCTTTCCTTTGTTCATACTGCATGTCCTAATTCAAGTTCCAATTTTTTGTAAATAATCTGCATTTCGGATGTTTATTAAAGAACATTAGTTTAGAAGTGCAATCTTGATATATCTGTTAACACGTCACTCAATTTAGATCAATCCTGAAATTTGGCCCAACCTCGTTAATACTGCCAAATTTTCACGACACGTTGGTGACCGAATAAACAGGGTCCTACTTTATTACTTAACACAAAGTTTCAGAGTGTTAACTATGAACGTAAGGTAACGTGTAGTTGGCCATTTGATAGTATGGGGTAGTTTTTATTAAAAAAAAAAAAGAAGATCTTTACAACAAAGTAAACGCGAATATCTCTTAGAGGGAGGCGAGTTTAAAACGTAAAAGGCCGAAAAAGGGTCTGTATGTTTCTTCTGCAGCCATTTTTACTAGGTTAATAAGTTTCACATAGATTATGGTTCTATGTATTAAAGCAATGGGATGGTCAATCAGTAGGGGAAGGGAGGGAGAGGAGTCTGGTAGATTTAAATCGAGGCTGAAGGGTGAGAGGTAGTGAGGTAGTGGGTGAGCCCGAAAAGTACTCTGGTTAGCCTGAATAACGTTTAGTATAGCCTGTTTACAGTTAGCTCTGAATACCGCAACACGTATCCGCAACACTATTCACCCCGGGAAGATGTCGAATGTTCTAAATTTCATGTGTATACTCGTTTACTATGTAAATAGGAGGAATTTCCAACGACAGGCATTAAAACAAAACCACGTAATCACATGCACTCTGGCCAATCAATCACAAATACTGTATTTCCCTAACCAAATAAATACAAAATGTCGGACATACAAGTGCCCTCCAGCTTCGTAGCGAAGCAGGCTATATCTTGGTCACTTGAAAAGCGTTTTTGATCGATTGTTGGCTATATAGTTAAAGGAGATCAGTCACGGTATTTTGAGTTAATTTCGCCAAGTACAAAATTGCCCTTAAATTGAAGGAAACCCGAAAATTAAAAGTATACCAAGATAGAAAAACACCAAAGAGATAATAATGAACCATAAAGGAACAAGGATGGTTAAGGATGGAGAAGATTAACACGGATTACAAACGACGAACTTGAAAAACTTAGGCTTAACTTTTCAAAATAGGCAAACCGTGACGTAGCTGCTTTAACATAGTTGACAAATGTATGTTCTTTTTCCACTATTAAGCCTTGGCAACCGAATACCATTTTCAAGTCCATATTTACGTTAGCCGAGATATGTTACTGTGATTGATAACTGATATAATTATTCAGGTATTGGTGAATCTTCATAACTGATATAATTATTCAGGTATTGGTGAATATTCATAACTAATACAATTATGTAGGTACTAGTGTATGTTCATAGCTGATATAATTATTCAGGTATTGGTGAATGTTCATATAATTATTTAGGTACTCATGTATGTTCATAACTAATATAATTATTAAGGCATTAATGTATGACTTAGTTGCAAAATAAACAAAAATAATGTTAGTGAGGATGGTTGTGTCTATGATTGTTTTAAGGTTTCATTCTATATATTTCTGTCTGGAGCCACAGAATTTGACTTGTCATTGCTAATCTTGATACAGTTCTCTCCTAGAGCTAGCTTTCCGCAAGGCTTATCGTAGCTCAAATAAAAGGAAATAACTCTCCCCTGCGCGTCGTATTTTCAACTCAGTTCTCGGTGTCTGGAAATGCGGTCAAACACGGTCTTTCGTATTTGACATATTACTTAGACAATGTTGCACTTCGAAATCAAACCGCAAATTGACCCAATAAAGTTTCTAATAGATGCCCTGAAATCTTTAGCCTTAGAGCGCTAGGTTTTGAATGCCAGGTTACAGTCCTGTCGACATAAGTTACCTAATAAAACTCAACCACAACAACCATCAAATTTTACTTATTTTAATTAACACTAACTTATCAAATAAAAGTCATTTTAAATCTATATACATATCTAAAATTTAGCTTTCCACGCATTACAAAATTAATGTATTCACAATTCGTTCACCCTGCAAAGTCGAAATCTGCAATAAAATATAATTGAACATTAGATTTCGACAATTGTGATTCACATGACATATGCGTTAAATAATTCTTTAACTTACAAACGTAAAGTTAAATTAAGGTCTGGAAACTTTCCAGCGACGGTACATTAATAGTACTTGTGGGTAACCTAGATGGGGAACTAGATGGCGAGGACCACAAAGACAACACAGATGGCAACACTCCCTTAGTTTAAAGGGGCTCTTTTACCAGGATTTTGGAATGCTTTTGGTCAAAGTGGTTGTAAAATCTTACAATGTCAAGTTTAAGATATCAACTAACTTGTTGATCGGAGAGCAAATTGTAATTAGTTATTACAAGAAAGGCAAAATTGGAAAGGTCTGCCGGACTTTTTCAATTTGATATCATAACTTCGTCCTTAATATTATAAATCATAATATTACCCCTTTGCTATACTAATATAGTAATTTATGACAAAACTAGACCAATATTTTTAGTTTCCATTGATGTAAATATACCCATTGACCAATGGCCATATGTTTCCCTCAATGTCTGGATGAATTATCAATGAAAAGAAAAAACAAAAAGACAAGAATTAAGGCGGTCAATTAACAAAGTAACGAAAAGTGTATATTACTACCTAGGAACATAATTAAAATTCTCTTAAGATTAAATAATCGTCGCTTTAGTAAATTGATCGGGCGAATTAATTAATTAAGCAAATTGTGCCGATTATAAAAATAGGCCAACTGGAATTGCAAATCGCTCAGTGACCTTTGTTACAACCCTCTGATTCAGTAATAACTCATATCCCGTATTGAGCCGGTCAGAAGACTCGTTTAAATTAGCTATTGACTAGAGAACGCTCTTTCTGACTAAACTTAATCGCTGTAGTGAACAAGCTTTCCTCACGGGCACCTCTCGGAGGCGGACGCAGTAGGCGTTTTTGTGGTGTTACAGACGGTGCAATCGCCAGACACCATGTGAGAAAACATTCACAAGACGACAAACAGTGTTCACACCATAGCACAGAATCTAACCAACACCACTGCATGTACATAGATGTAAACTACAGTGGTGAACTGGTCTGACACTAACACTTCGTCTTTTGAACATCATTTAAGCAGGCACCTGTACAAATTGGACACTCAATCTGCTTCCATGAGTGTCCAATCATAATGCCCACCAAAAAGGACAGCGAGATACAATGTGACAATTCCTGAGTGCAATCGATGGCTTCGTCTTCTTCGCTAAGTAGTGATGTATTTTCGATCACGTGCAGCGTTATTACACCGGAAGTAAAGTTGACCAAAGGTGGAAACACACGGCGTTGATGACACTGTACACGTGACTTCGAGTTTTCTTGTCGAGTAAAGACCCGTTGTTGTCTGGCAGGTCCTCACGGAAAATAACCAAAATATCCTGCAAAAAAAATGTTAAAATGAGAAATAACTTTATACGTTCTTATACGAAAAGTAAAGACAACAGATAAAAAATCTTAAATCGCGCGGTCACAATGTAGTTAGGAACTGTATTAGCCGCAACGAGCAAGACTGCGCAGACCACAGCACCTAAACAACATTGAATTGGGAGGGGAGAGGGGTGGGGGGTATCAGAGAATCAACGCTTGATCAAAAAAAGAAAAATTTCATACTTGAAATATACTTACTGCACTTCCATTATTTTAGTCCACGTAAAGCAATACAAACATATCTGGATTCTCAGGATTTAGGATTGCCAAGTAGTGAACTGTACTGTCTTCGCTAATGAATAAACGATGGGTGTCTTGGAACTTCGCGGTGATGACTCTGTGAAATAAGTTACAGGTTAAGGTTTCGCCCACCCCACGCCGGAGAAATTTGAAAACGCAACAATCACCCGTCATTTTGGATTTGTTTTTGAGGAAAACTCCTGCAAGGAAATCTTATGATAATCGTGACGTCATCGTTTACGAAAATCTCCGTTTTCAAAATGTTTTCCACCCACACTAAAACGAAAAGCTGGCGTCTTCAAATTCCTACGGTTTGAACAGCGTTTTCGAAAAGCTCCGTTTTCGTGACGTATTAGTGTGGACGATAAGTCTAACCGTAGAAATAGAGCTGCGTTTTCAAATTTCTCCGTCGTAGTGTGAAAGGGGTTTTAAGTCTGTCGGTGGCGCTAAATTCTGCTATACAGGCTGATACGGAAGCGACTAGAAGTGTTACTCCATCACAGGTCACATCCCCACCCCACCCTCCTACATTTTGTGCTCCTGAGTGGAGAGGGGTGCTGTGAGAATACAGTGTCTTGCCCAAGAACACAACACAATGATCTCGGACAAGGTTCGGACTCAGATCACTGCACCCCTTAAAATTCAAATATCATGTAATGTTGTTTCAACCTTTCATAACAACAGCAAAACAACGCAAAGCGATTCATAACAAAAATGTATACCAATCCCCTTTCTGTGGCAGCAAAATAGAAAGTCTCACCGGAAAAGATTCAGATACCAGGAGGTCCCCATCGACAAAAGAGGAATCAATTGTGGATCTTCATTCTTTAAAGATTTGCTTTGAACAATCGATAACAACTGTTTAAACTCTTCAAAGCTCAGGCGAGGCGCCGGCGCCTGAAAGAAACAATAAACAAGTCAGATAGTGAAGCAAGGGACCCTTTTTTTTCAAACTTGATATTTCCCTTGCTTCAAACGAAATACTTAAAGGAGCTACGTCACGGTTTGTGTATCTTGAAAGGTTTGGCCTAAATTTTTCAAGTTCGTGGTTTGTAATCCGTGTCAATCTTCTCCATCCTTAACCATCCTTGTTCCTTTATGGTTTATTATTATCTCTTTGGTGTTTTTCTATCGAAGTTAACTTCTATTTTCTAGTTTCCTTCAATTTAAAGCTAATTTTGTATATGGCCAAAATAACTCAAAACAACGTGACTGAGCTGCTTTAAGCTCTCCCTTGGACTAGAAGAAGCTGCAAACTTAATGGCCTTGTGCTAGAGTGCACAAGAGTCACAAAAATTCTACCTGTTCTATTCGTGGGTTCAGCGAATCAACACTCTTCATCCAGCTCTGTTTCAGACTCGATTCTGAGCTGGATTTACGTATAGTACTCTTCCGCCTCGCTTTCTTCGTTCCATCTTTCTCCTCCTCCTCAGTCTCCCCAGCAAACAAACGATGCCACAGCAAGTCTCGACTGCAGTGAGTTTGGGCCCGACAGGCTATGCGCATGAGATGATCACGTGCACGCTGGAAAGCTTCCGTGAGGAGCCTGGATTCTCGTTGGGAGCTATCGTCAACCGAAGATTCTTCGTAGTTTGTCGGAAGTGGCAACAACGTTGGTAGTGATTCCATGCGTTGCTCTGCGATGTTTTCGTCGGAGCGCGATGAGGCCACGTTGAAGAACGGGGAACTATTCTCGTAACCCATTGTGAACAGGGAGTGGGGTGTGGAGGCTGACCTGTGGAACTCCCCAGGGGAGGGAGGGTTGGGTGCTCCCAGGGAACCGCCCGAGCTGTTGCTAGGTAGAGTGAATCTGACACGTGACCCTAAAAGTGAAATAAAGATAGCTTAATTTTGTAGAAGATCAAAAATACTCGACAAAGAAAAGAAACATTTGGAAAATGTTTGGAAAAATCTAGACCTTCCGGTCGAAATTGCTTACTACAATTAGTTTGAGTTCATGAATCAATGAAAAGTAGATCTAACTACCAAGTCTGTGAATCAAACCCCATAAGTGTGTGAATAATCAAAAGAAAGCTATTGAGTAGTAATTGCACGTGTTACTCAAGTATTTATTATCCTGTACAAGGTGGTTCTAACTTTTAAGTCTGCGAATCAAACCCTGGTGTGTGACCATTCAAATGAAAGCTATTGAGCAGTACTTTCATGTGGTATTGTTTGCTTTTCGATATTTTTAAAAATGAAATTTCGAATTTCTTAAGTGCGTTTTTTAACTTTGCCGCTAGTCGCAGTCAAAAACATTGAAAAATCATTGAGTACCACTCAGTGAATACCTTTTCCTGGTTCTGAATCCCCTCCTTCTGGTAATGACCCCTTTCTGGCCCCGGCCATAGTCGACAGCGAGCTTGACGAAGGAGACTTCTTTCTCAGCCTTAAATCCAGCGTCAATTTAGGAAACAACTCCCGCCGACTCGTCATCAACACAACATACTCCATGGTAAACACACCATCTTCCATCCAATCCTTGAGCGACCCGACAAAACTGATGTCATACTCGTTGTTGTCTCGGAGAATGTCGAACGTCTTCGTGGGAGAATTTCCCGCTTGCGTCAGAACTCGGTCGGTGCCTAGCAGCACGTGACTGGATTTGGTGGTGTTGGATTTTTTTAAGGGAAGCGTAGAAAAGTCGTATTTAGAAGCGTTTTTCACCAGGTAGTTAAACACAGCTTGGGGAGACAGGCCTGGCTGACAAGGTACTGAAATATCGCCTAAAAGAAAGGTAAAACGGTTTGAAACACTTTTTTTTTCATCAAATAATCTTCAACTGTTTTTGTCCAAATTAGTTGGGTAGCAAGCTCAGTTATATCTGGTACGACTTCCACAAACATCAAGAAACATCAACATAAAAAGCAGTAGGTAAGTACATGTAAATCTATAGACGGAAAGGTTCAGTTTCAAAAACGTGTGGAGATAAAGAAACACTTAAATTATAAGGCGGATTTGCCGTTGAAAAATTGGCAGGCATACAGGAAAAACTAATTTCTATCAGACAGTTGGTGTACATAACCAGGTCCGGGTTGTTCAAAAGCCAGTTAACGCTAACCCAGGATTAAAAGTTAACCGAAGTTTTAATTTTTCTAATATAAATATTTTTTTATTGCTCATGTTTTGTGTAGTTTGAGATTACACAAACTCAAAACTGAAGGATAATCAATATAAACAGAAAACTCCACTGAAAAGTTACAAAACTGGAATCACAATTTTCGCTAATCCTGGGTTACCTTATCTGGGCTTTGAACAACCCGGCCCAGGGGCGTATATTTATTGAGAATTTTTTTTTTTGTCTAATACGTTGGGATTTTTTTGATGTGTGCAGTGAATTGGGGGTTATTTTAGAAAGTGTACATTCGGTGTACAATCGGAATATAGTGAAATCCGGGTGGGGATGGGTGGGGGGAAATATAAAAAGGACGGGGGTGCTCGTCGGAAATTTTGAAAAGAACCCCAAAACCGCCTTTTTAGCCCCTAAAAGGTACGACGAGTACCCCCTTCCTTTATATAAGGGAGTCCCCCCCCCCCCC